GAGAGAGAGAGAGAGAGAGAGAGAGAGAGAGAGAGAGAGAGAGAGAGAGAGTTATTTAAGCACTGAATTGTAGAGAAGATAATTGAAGAGAATTATATAACCATTGACGATCTTCCGCTTTACGATTGTTTACGCATTTGTTTGATTAATTCCGCGATAAATTCCAGACGAAATAATGAAGGCATCGTTTGTGTTGCAGGTGCTTCGACACTTGGACGACGAGAAATGGTATCCGGCATTCGGGGGTGTTCTGAGAGTAATGGCTACCTCGCGGGAATCGGGTAATATTTCATGATAGTCTCGTTGCCTGTAATTCATCGTGTTTGAAAATTAACGAGGCCGATATACTATTCCGTTTAAGCTATAGTCCGCATAGCTAAGAAACTGCAGCTTTCGTAATATTTCTCTGACTGCGCGCGCGAGGTCATGTGTGATCTCATCGCGCGCGCGCGCCTTCGAGAGGAATAAAATATAGATGTCCATTAACCCTTTGATGTACTTTGATATGCATCTCATGGTATTTTGATGCAATTTATACAGTTTCACTCTATTTCCTAATCACGAAGCTGTGCTGAGTGAGAGGCATAAGTGTCGTGCTGCTAAATTATGTTACTTCAATACGGTAAATCCATCAGTATCCGGTAGAGTCAATGTCAGACACAGCGCAGCTGAAAATAACTGTTAACGAATCGTGAAGAAAGAAATACACATTCAATATCATTTGTTCTCAAACGCACAGATAATTTTGTATCGGAATGTGTTATATTCCAGGGTCAGGTAAAGATACCACGAAGAGCGAGGCAAGCGGGGCTTATCAAGTGATGCCCAAAGTAATCACGGGACGTAAGAGTCACACGGATAAGAGCGTGTCGTCGCTTTATAAAGGTAAAGGAGAAAGTAGGTTGTTTCTTCCTGAGATAACGCGTGATTTTCCATGTGTTTTTGTACGCGCGCACAACTCGTTCACAACCGGCCAAGGAATAATTAGATCCGCGTCGATTAAATTCAGACGACAACACGACGACGCTCGGAACCACGGAGATCGTGATTATAGCGGTGGTGTCCGCGTTGGTGGTGTGGTTGCTGGTGGGTCTGTGCTTGGTGTGCTACAGATTCCTCAGCAAGGACTCGGAGAGATGCTCACCCTGCGAGTCGAAGAACACTCCGTGAGTAAAAGCACTGTTTATTCATCTCACGATACATTCCTTCTTGATTTAGCTTAATATAACCGTTTCTTTTTAAATCGCGTCGCGCTAACTTGCGATCCATCGAGTTCTCTCTGCGATTCTCTCGATCTCCCGACTCCTCAATCTGCACGGCGATTTAGATTCGCGGTGCTGTACAAGAACGCGGACTACTGCGAGCCGGATACGTGCCCTTCGAGGTCGTCGCGCACGGGTGTAGTTGAAAAATTGAAGGAATTGTGGAGAAGCAGGTTTGGTCGATGCCCAGGGGGATGTCAGAAGCACGAGGATGAGGAACGTTGCTTAGCCGCGATCAATTACTGCAGCAAAGACACCGTCAGCAACAGCAGCAGGATTTATTCGTGGGCGTATATTTGGTTTCCGTCTCTGTTTTATCCGCGTCGTGAAATCATTTTGCTCCTTCTATTGATTTATGTTCGATCGGGCGGCTTCGCAAACACGTCGATTAACGAGGATGCATCGCGCAATCTTGAATGCAATTTTCTAACAACGTATTCTGTGCTCAACAGGAAGAAGAAATACACTAAGTCCACTTCCGCGTTTCCATCAGGATCGCTCAGAGGTCGCACGTCTTCCAAAGTAAGTGATTGTGGCCTGCATTAACAGTTGTCACTTGAAACGTGTCTCATGTGAGAAACTTAGGCTCATATTAAGAGTCGTTATTCGAAACTTGTCCCACGTAAGATACTCGAATCTGAATCTAAAGTTAGATTTGAGTTTCAATAATCTTATAGTTTTAAAAGTTTTAGATTGCGCGACTGAGTTGAAAACCTCACATCTAACTATAAAACCTTTATTGTTAATAATCGTTACTTGAGACTTGTTCCATATGAATATCTAAATTAGAATTTAGAGTTAGATACGAGTTTTTCAGCTGAATCGCAATCGCAGATATAATGTTGCATATATTACACGATTTAAATAAAAAACTCAATTCTAACTCTTAATTTAAATTACCGAATATCTTATAGAGGAAAGATTCAAGTAAGGACTATTAATATAGACCTTACATTTTTATTCAGAGCTCGACCCAAGTATTTCAATTAAATTTTAATATATGCGACATTTCTATCTTTCTATAATTGCGATTCCACTGAGAAACTTTTATCTAACTCTGAATTTAAATCTGATTGTTACATGAGACAAGTAATAGCTATTTTAATGTTTTAAGTAATAACTATTAATATGTACCTATTATAGTATTGTTACTTATTTATATAAACGATTAATACGGATAAGTGTAATTTTAATATATTTTTTAAACTATAGCTTCAAAACGCTGCAGTTTTAAATATTTAACGAAGTCTATAATTTAAGTTTTATTTTAACTTGATATTTATTATGCGACATTTGTTTTATAATCATGCATTTTATTTGTAGCATAGTAGCATTCGTTAGCTGTACTTTTGAGAAAGACCGTCTATAATCCAGCCAGACCAAGAAGGTAGTTATACTAAGAAGTAACTTTTTAAAGAACGTAGGAAGAGATCGTGCTTGTTTTTAAGAGAAACTATTTAACTTTAGCGTGTACCTCGATCAATAAAAGGTAAAAGTTAACAAATACAACGAACATTCCTAGTCCCAAGAGTTCGGCAGAAACGTGTGAATGGAAGGGAATTTCGATTTCGATAACTTGGGGCTTTGACTAATGACGCAAAGATAGTTCTCATTCCCAACGCTGCAAAACAATCATTCAGCTGTAACATCGAAGTTGCCGGGAACCGTCTGCTCGCGGGGAGGAAGAAACCGCGAAGACTGTTTTACCTCACGCCCAGTACTGTCGGGCCATTAATTAAATTTCATTCCAGCCAGCCGCGGCCGTCCGCCGAAAGCGCATCTCGCGCGCTCCGATCGCGCCCCGTGCGATACGCTCGAAGCGTTCGCTGCACCCGAACGCGGCTTCTTCTCCCTCGCAGGCGGCGCGTTGCAAGTTGCAGTCTGCAACTTGTTGCAAGCGGGACGAGGACGAGCGACACACGAGACGAGGGAAGGAAGAGAGGAAGAAGAGAAAGAGAGAGAGAGAGAACAGGGTCGCGCGCGGTTCAAGCGATGGCGTGCAGCAGCGCCCTCTGGGCCGAGCGGGCTCGCGTGTGCGCGCGCCTCGCGTCTCGTCTCACGGGAGCCGCGCGAAGGACGCGGCCGGCCGGCAGTGTCGCGCGATATCTCGAGTGATGCGTTACGTTTCTCCGTTCGGCGGACGCGCGCGAGAGTGACACACACGAGACACGCGTACGCGGGTGGCGAGACGCGTCTCGTCGCCACCACGACGAGAGAGGCCCGTGAGAGCGCTTCCGATCGGGGACGATCTCGTCGAAGGATCATCGATCGTGTCGGAAATCCCGTGGCCGTCCTATTGGCGCGGCGGCAGCCGGTGGGTGACAGCGAGCTGTCACGGTGACAGTTGACGCGCGATGTGGCGTTCCACGTGCGCGACGTCGGCCGCGAATTTCGCGCGAGACACGTCAACGGGCGACGTCTGAGCGGCCGTGGTGCTTCCGCGAGGGAACTTTTAAGAGAAGAAGGCTCCGTCTCGCGACGGTCATGTGAGTGACATTTGTGCGTAACAGTCGCGGTAATATCTCGTTGCCCGAGACACGCGAGAACCGGAGCTTCCCGCACCGAGAACAAAAGACGGGAGAATCGAAGACGACTCAACGCAACTTGTTTCGTCCGAGATAACGCAAGTGGACACGCAAGTGTACATCTCGTCTCGACTTGCCGATTCGCACGCGCATGCTCCACTTTGAAGTTTCGATAATCGCGAGCGTCGCGTCGTCTCGCACCGAACTTCAGTTCATTCGCGACCGGGTCGTGTTGTCGGCGCGGCATTGACTCTTTGACTATGTGCGTTACGGCGGGATTTTCGCGTTTTCTCGTATTCGCGCGCGTTCACCGCAATTGACTCTTGTGCATTCTGTGTGTCTTCGTCGTGGGACATTATGGCACGAAGAAACTACGGCCTGCTGGGCACGCTGTTCTTCCTCCTGCTCTTCGCGGACGTGTTGAAAGGTAGGATTCCAACCTGACATAGAACCTAACATTTTCGCGCTCGATGGCAAACAACACTTGAATTGGGTTAGGAGAGCTAATAAAGCCTACTGTGTAGTCTAAAATTATACGACAATCAAGCTTTTTATGACTTTAGAGACGTTTCTCTCAGCGTAAATTGACTTCTCTATGATTGCTTGAGTTATGTTTGCCGGTTCATAATATGCACATTTATTAGCTCTTCGCAACCTACGAAATCTCAACAAAGGAGCACAGAAGTTTGAAGTTGTCAATTTAATTACATGGAACTACCGCCATTCATTCTGAATACAAACAAATGATGCCTTGAATAATTTTAACGCTCTTTGAACATTCAATGTAGAATTCTTTTGCATACAATATGTAATCAGTGTTAACGCATATTAATATAAATTATAGTATTGTCATATTAGTATCTTAAATATTTTTGGATTTATCAAAGCTATTTTTTTACGAATTAGAGCCGACACTGAACTTGGAGCAAGAGGATATATAAATCGTGCATTATTAATTCAAATTATAAATATTATTATAACGTTATAATAAAAAATTTGTAATCACCGTTATAATAATATTTATGACTTTTATTAGAATTAACATTACACAATTAATATATTCTCTCGTTCCAAGATCAACGGCTTTTCGTCTCATGTTTGTTCTTTTAGAGCCCTTGTATTTAACTAAATATATATATTTTTTTTGTCTATTTACCATTGAAGTAACGACCATTGAAAAACAAATTCGATAGATCGACGGACGGTATTTTTAATTCCGAAATTGGCGATAAGTATTTTGAAACTTGAAAGATCAACGAGCAATAATACAGTTAGCAATAAATATTTGCATCATTACTTCGTATTGGAATCTTTGGCGTTCGTTTTGCTGCGATTTAATCGAAAAACATTTCGTCGAGTGTACGACGAAAACAAACGTTTAACTCGAAATTCACAAAATGCGAAATTTGTGAAAGCGACTCGGGAGAACTTTCAACTTCTGTTCTTCTTCATAAACATTCAACAAGTGGCGACAGGTTCATTGGCTTGTGCGAGTTAAGTTCCCGAGTGCCTTTCAGATCGCCCGAACTGCGGCGATGACTTTTCTCGTCGTAAAATATCGAACTTTATTGTGCTGACTCGAAATGTTACACAGAGTTGGCTTATTTATAGGACAGTCTGCATAATGTTTACATGTTTCTTTAAATCATTATATTTGAGTAAATAGTGTACATACAAATAAATTGCTTTTGCAATACGTGTTGACGAATTAGAAGTCGTTAGTTACAGCAGTAGTAAATTAAAATAATTATATACATTGAATGCCATACACACAGAAAGAAAGGACATTCTTGTCTGGGAAATATCTTTATTTTTTACATGTTAATCTTCAAATGAGATTATATAGCATTAAACAAAAACAAGTTACTCGCAAGCTTATATTCTATGTGATTTTTAACGAAGGAAAACCTGTGTTCTTATTATTCAAAAATAATTTTTATTACTGAAAAGCGCAAAATATTGGATTGAGAGATGTTTTTAAATGTGCGTTATACCCCAAGTTCTTCTATAATCCATTTGAAATTAATATATTCAAATTAATAATATCATTGTATGATATATAAAACAATAATTATTGTTTAAGTAATGATAAGTAATGATAAGTTATGTATAAGTAATGATATATAATTTTTTGTTAGAAAAATTTTGTCAGCTCGAATTTGAACAATTATTTGTTGAATTGAGTATAAAATGTATTGTGATATGTGCAAGTGACTTATCTTTGTTTAACGCTATGTAATCTCACTTGAAGGTTAACATGTCAAAAGATATTTTCCAAATAAAAATATCTCTATCTTCCGTGCGCGTTTTTACGTTTTTTTATCAATAATCTCTTGCCTCGGGCATTCGCAATATTACAATCAATATTAAATCTTACAAATCGTTATTTTAAATAACAAAACCAATTTTTTGACCGATAAATATCGCCCCGCACGCAAATTATTGTGTTTTACATTATTAACCAATAAATTCCGGTGCCTGCAGCGCTTCAGTGTACCGGAAACCCATGAATGAACGAGTTCCGAATTATCGGTTAAAGGGTTAGAGCAAAGTTTCTCGTGCGGAAGGGAGGCGCGAGAAACTTTCGTTTATCTCGACGGGATAACTAACACCGTCCGGGCAATAAAATATCATCGACTCGTCGTTACTCGATACCATAGCACGTGAATTTTTTCCGTACGTAATAGCAGACGTTTCAGCGCTCTCGCAGACGCTGTAATTTGTAAACGATTTAAAGCATTTCACGCTCTGTTAGGCGAGGTAATGGGCTCACTTTTAATTACCGCCTAATGTACTATTACCGTCTCCCTTGACACCCACCCCGGTCGCGTAACAAGCAACGCTTTTCATTTACGGATGGTTGAGCCCGCGAGAGAGGCGAATTCTGCGACGCTGTCGGCAAGACCGTGCCAGTTTTCCCTTCCTTATTTCCTAGTCTACGAGGCTAATAGTTTTAAGGTCACGTTCCGGCGTGTTCGTCGAAGAAAATTTGCGCGCTCAAATTAAAAGCCGGAGGGATAACGACGCGGACTCGTCTCGACTCGAAACGCGAGTACTAGGAATGGAACGGTATTACTCAGTTTCTATTTTAAATCGATATTTTTGTACAAGAAAGAACGAACCGCTTATCTCTCAAAAAGTGGGTTTTCACATATTATTGGAATCACATATCCAGCTACCCTGCGTTGCTCGGGTTATCACAAAGTGTCAAGGAAATGAGATCAGGAGGAGGAGGTGAAGTGCCTCTAGGAGGTTTCATGTAGTCTATGTTTTTCGTAGAGTTCTAGAGAGTAATTATATATGCAAAATTCGGTCCAGACCGGTTAAAGAATTTAAGAGTGTACAAGGAATATACAGACACATTCTATTTCATATATATACAGGGTGTAAGAAAACGCATTCAGCATTCAATATAGTGGTCAATCGTTTCTGAGATATAAACAATTTTATATATTAGAGATATAAACAGTCTTATATATAAAAAAAAATCACATTTGTATAAACTTTGGTTTATTAGCGATCGGAAAAGAAAAGAAAATAAAATAATTAATAAATATCAATTATAATTTTAATGAAATATTAGACAATACCGTTTATATCAATAATTGAACTGAAAAATGAGTCATCTCCTAATCACGGAATAATGCAGGCTCATTCATTGAATGCTCATTAAATAATATTGCACATTGGTATAAAGAAATATCTCTTTCAACAAAATTGCAAAGACTTTTTCAGAAATATTAAATACAAATGTGTTATTAATGTTCCAATCACTGGGACGTTGTTCAATTACTGGAACATTTACTTTACTTTAAAGATATCACCGGTAAGCGTACATGGAAATGAAAAGAGGATTTAGTAGAATATCTTTTGTAAATATCGAAGAAAAATTTGGAAAAATTATTTTCTCTTTTCACGTCGCATGCGATACGTAGAAGCTAATATATCAGTCATTATACTAATATAAAAAACTGTTTATATGTTAGAAACGATTGAGTTTTCGAGTTTATTAAGACGTTTACTAAGAATTTTTTCCCCAGTATGGTATGTACTATCTATCATATAAATGCTTTTTTTTTTTAATACTCACACATATAATTATGTGGAAATAATCGAAATCTTTGAGCGATACTAACCGGTCCAAGTTTCTTTTTAAATTTGTAAAAACAATAGCGCAACTGTTTCACAACATGAACATTTGCTAAGAACCCAATAAGAGTCTCATCGCTGCATTTTTCTATTTCAATTATCTTTCAATGCAGTATCATGTGTACGCGTTATTAATTTAATCATGCGATAACGTCCAATTAAATTAAGGCACGGTTGACTGAGTTCCGCACAATATTATAACCGCGGCCTCATACGCTTATGCGCGTTTCTATTATATCTCGAGACTGAATACATGAATAATACATTATAAAATACGTTGCCCTGTTATTTTATTTATAAAGCCGGGTTTAGAGAAAGGATTTTTCTCTATCTACGATCGCGCGGACACGGATTTAGAGGAGGGAAGTTTTCGTAGAAATATTCTTTTGACACACATGCATACACACACACACACACACACACACACATATCAACGCGCGCTAAATTCGTAGATTATCGTCACCGGCTGGAGATCGCAGCGAGGGGTCGCAACGGGTCTCCTTCTCTTTCTCTTTTTTTCTCACCACTTATTTATGCGTTCGGGCTTCGAGAGGCGCGATTTTATTGGCTTGTAAATAACGGATATTATGCGCGGCGGCGTATACCCGCGTTTAAGGACTCCATCGGACGTTATTTAGAGCTCAAAGCGAGGCGTGATGATGCGGCGATGATTCCGAGGAGAGAGAGAGAGAGAGAGGGGGGGGGG